AAAAATCCCACCCCGAGCAGGGCTGATCCTGCTCCCACACACTGCAAATGAGCATCTGATCATGGGAGCTGGGAAAGGTAATTACAGAATAATTAATCTGTCAGTAAATTAGGAATCTTGGAGGTCGTCACCACATGGAGTCGCTCCAGGTGGGCTGCACAGCACTGCTGGAGCATCCCAGCATCCAGAGATGGAGGTGGGAGCTCCAGCAGGAGCAGCAGGTGTGGGTGGGAATGTCCAGAGCCGGACAGTGGTGCTGGAGGAGAGGACGTCTCTGCTGGTGGCTCTGGGCACATCTGGGATGAGAGATTTGGATCCATGGTGGGATCACGGCACCAAAACCCTTCCAGCTCCTCCATGGCTGTGCCATGGTGGGAGCAGATCCTGGTCCCAGCCCTTTTCCCTCTGGGAAAAGCCTTCTGAGCTTCTTGAGGCCTTCCCTTGGACAGGACAGGCTTGGGAAGAGCAAAGGACACGGACCAGTTTGGGCTGGTGGCCACTGACCATGGGATGGGACAGGGCTGCCCCCATCCCCAGCACTGGGACACTGGGACAGGATGTGACCCTTGGAGTGGGGTTGAAAGTCCCAATTTCATCCCAGTTCATCCCAGTAGTGCCCAGTTTATCCCAGCAGTGCCCAGTTCAGGTTTGGGCCACAGGGAGAAGCCATTTGTGTTCCAACGTGGTGATGGGAGTGACGAGGAGGGTGTGGAAGGAGCCAAATTATCCCACTGTCACCTCCTAAGGGGGATCCAGCTGCACGGGGAGGGGGCTGAGATGAACACAAGGGTTTTGGCTGCCCATGGCAGGGGTCAGAATCCTGGGTGACAGATCCTGGGGCTGCTGTGGGGCTCCCAGCCCCATGGAGGGTGTGGGTCAGGAGCAACATCCATTCCCTGGGGTGTTCCCCTGCTGGTCCCTAATTCTACTGGAAAATTCTGCTGGAAATTTTTCTGGAATTCTGCTGGAAAATCCTGCTGGAAATCCTGCTGGAATTCTGCAGCCACATCCTCCAGCTCCGGTTTCTCAGAGCTGCCACGCACTGGGATCCCCCTCCCGCCGCCCTCCCTGCTTTGGGGGGATCCGGGGCCTGCTCCAGCTCCCCTCCTCTCCTTCCCCAGCCAAACACAGCCGCGAGAGGCAGCGTCAGGGTTTCCTGGGGCATCTGTTGGCAATTAGCGGCTTTTATTACTCATGGAGACGCCAGATGGGGCGAGGGAACGGAGCCCGGGCCAGAAGGCACAGACTCGTGGTGTGTCCCAGCATAAGGGGACAAGGGACACCCAGACAGGGGGTACAGGGTGGGTCAGAGCAGATCCCAGAGCTCTGGAGCTGTTTTCCATTTTCAGCTCCCATCGGAGCTGGGCTGAGTCCCCCCAGTGCCAAAAAATGTGAATTTTGGGGGGCGGGAATGATGGAGAAGCGGCTCTGAGGCTGCTCGGGGAACGAGGACTTCGTGGAGTTTCTCCCTCCGCTTCCCAGGAATGAAACTTCACCAAAAAGAGGCAAAAATTGCTGTTCTAGCACCGGGGCTACAAACGGCTCTGGGAAGCTGGGAAAGAATTCCTGCAGCACTTTCCTTCCTGGCCGGAGTTAGGCGAGGAGGAGGGGAAATTGTGCCTGGATTGGAGCAGAAATTAATGCTGAGGCGCTGAAATCCTCAGTCCTGCCGGACAGGGGGTACGGGGTGGGTCAGAGCAGAGCTCTGAAGCCCTTTTCCATTTTCTGCTCCCATCGGAGCCAGGCTGAGTGCTCCCAGTGTCAAAACTGTGAATTTTGAGGGGCGGAAATGATGGAGAATCTGCTCTGAGGCTTCTCCCTCCGCTCCCCGCGAAAGAAACTTCACCAAAAAGAGGCAAAAAGTGCTGTTCTAGCACCGTGGCTACAAATGGCCCTGGGAAGCTGGAAAGAATTCCTGCAGCGCTTTCCTTCCTGGCTGGAATTAGGCGGGGAGGAGGGGGAACTGTGCCTGGATCGGAGCAGAAATTAATGCTGAGCCTCTGAAATCCTCACCGCAGGAATTCCCTCCTGCGCCTTGTCCAGCTGCCTCTGAGCCAGCCTGGTCCGGCCGGCGTCATCCCAACCCTCATTCCTTGGGTTTGGGGAGCTTTTGGGGGGGAGTGAGACGTGGGGAGCCCCCAGGGTAACAAAATCTCCGCGTTGCTCGGAGGCAAAATTGTCTCCGGCCCCAAAATTGTCTCCAGCCCCAAAATTATCGGGCTCTGCTCCGGCTCTTGTTTTTTGGCAGGCGGCGCGGCAGTTTCTTGGAAGCGCAGCGTGCCTCTGCTTTTTCCATGATGGGATGGATGGAGGGTGGGCTGCAGGATCCTGCTTTCCATCCCCCCGCTGGGCGCCGCTCCAAGGCAGAGCTCTGGGCAGGCGGGATCCGGCTTCTTTCTCCCTCTGGAAATGCCGATCCCGTGCTCTGGAGCAGCAAAGAGAAGCAGGAGCTGCACGGAGCGGGGTTTTCCACGCCGCTGCCACCTTTGGTCGCTTTGTGTCGCTGGGTTGGGGACAACGAGACCAGGGGAGCACCCTGGGAAGTGAGGGAAACTCAATTGTAAACCCTCCGAAGTGTTTTGCGGATGAATTGATGATCAATTGGGAATTGCAGAGGATGAGATGAGGCTGCCCTTCATCCCCTGCTCTGCTCTGGGGTTGGGATGGGATGTGGGGCCGGTTTTGGGGCCCGCAGGACACACAAACCCACGTTCATCGCTGCTGGATGGCCCCAAACAAAGAACAATCATTCCAAAGGAGAGAACGAGGAAAATTCGCTGTGTTTTCGTTCCCACTTGCTTTAATTACCCTTAATTACCTCAGCAGGCACCTCGCGGGAGCGTTGTCGCCGGGACTGGCTGGGGTTGCCCACGACAGCTCATTTACTGCCTCTGCACGAGCAGCAGTTGCTAATTAGCGACTTTATTGAGATCCACGCGTCCCTCACGCGTCTCTAAAGCTGCAGCCTGAACAGATCCATCACAATTCGGGAGAAAACGCAGCTGGGCCCTCCTGAGTGTCCCTGTGCCACGGTGACACAGCCACGGAGATGCCAGAGGATGCTTTGCACCCTCCAGACCTAAAATTACATGAGCTGGGCTCGTTC